TGCAGGATGCAGCAGAGATAATTGGAGCACCTGGACTTCCTAGGATAGGCCTAGTCTAGACTAGGGTTCCTGATCCTGTGCTGAGTGCCTCCAATGCCAATCTAGACACTCCACAAAAGTCTATTCCATGATACAAATGATTATAGTTTCCCCTATGCTGAGTCCTAACTATATTGAGAACTAAGCTGAGCCCTAGGGTAAACTACAAACCTGTGATTATCTTGTCTGACCTCCCCAGTGACCTTTTCCTCCCTGCCAGACTGCCAGCTGCTCCTTTTGAATCAGACACATAGGACATGTTAAAAAGCCTTTTCTTCTTGACTTTAATGAAACTTGAAACTTCAGCACTGGTGTAACATCCGACCGTACAAGTTGCTTTTAAATTCCTTTGCTGCAGGGGAGTCTTGATGAGTGACCATTCTAATCGAAACTAAAAATAAAAATGGGAGAGAGATGAAGTAGGAAGCTGTTCTTTTCAGTATATTTCAGAACAAATATTTTCTGACAGCTGACAGACGTGCCATTTTTTCTCTCTCTCATGTTTTGTATTGTATTTTTCACAAGATTGTTAAGGTAGACAATCAGCTGAAAAAAAAGTAAATTTAAACAAAGTTCCTCTAAATGTAAATCTGTTGAAGGACTCCACCTATCATACAATTTCCAATCTCTTTACTAATCCCTATTGTACTATACTCCCCATCCCCCCTTCCCACTCCCAGCCCGGAATTGAAACTGTGAAAGGGATTTTGTTAAGTATTTTTACAATCACATACTTCATAAGGGACCTCCACTCTGAATTAATGATTCTTTTTACAGCCTGTCTCAGTCCTCTTCTTGTAGTAACTGGACCCAGGCTGGGTCCCACAGGCTTCTAAGTCAAGTGGGTCAGAATGAGTCTACTCACTGGTCATAGCTCTGGGTCTCTAAGGTGCACTCCCTAGCTCAGATCTCTTGCGTGAGCCATTCCCTGAGACATGGGACGCCACAGTCTGACTAACTCAGATCCTGGAATTACTGCCTCAAATAGGGTGACCAGATGTCCTGATTTTATAGGGACAGTCCTGATTTTTTTTTGGGGGGGGGAAGGTTCTTATGTAGGCTTCTATTACCCCCCACCCTCTGTCCCAAATTTTCACATTTGCTGTCTGGTCACCCTAGCTTCAAACTTCCTGAACACCTTAGTTGTTTATACATGTTCCTCCAGAATTTCACCAGTTTAAACCCATGACAGGAAGGCAAGGGACACAGCCTTAGCAAAGTAATTTCTTAACCACAGTCACATCATTTAAAAAAAACAACACCACAGAGTTACAGATCTTTGTACAATAATAGAAGTCCCAAGATGCAGCCTCCCACCGCCTTTAATCTTACCCCTTGTGTGAATCAGGTCTTGCCAACATTTCAGGCTAAGCAGAGTCCCTCCTGCCTTCTCCCTCTCCAGCTTGGTCTTCATTGTGGCAATGGATGGTCCCCCCTCAGAGAAGCACCCCTCCTTAAATTCAGTCTCTGTCCCTTTTTGCCAGGTGTTCCATAGGCTTGCTTGTGTCCTGTCCCTCTCCAGGCGCCTGTGTAGAGTCCATTGTTCCATGGGCATAGTCCGGCAGTTGAGAGAGAATCTGACTCAAATGGCCCTAGTATATTGTCTTGATGGCCTCTTAGAGATTGTCCTTCACCAAGGCATCGAGCACCTTTCCTGGTCAGAGTAGCTGACTGCAATATATCATAGTAACATTGCTTTGGGCAAAGTTAGACAGGAGTTCAGCACATAACATAAAATGGATGTGCTAATTCAAAATGGGAGATTCAGTACAAATAGAAATCACGATAGGACTCAGACCTGAATATCCCACTCTGCCACAATCATCATTTCACCACTGAAACAGGGCCTCCAGAACCACATACTGGCAAAAATCTCCTCCATTCAAATGGTTCCTATGGGTGCTCTTTAGCAGATTTGCTGCATTCAGCACTGAGTGACTTTCTATCTTTATGTGGCAATGGAAATGTAGTCTGATTAAGGACTGCAGCATTTAAATAATTATTATTTCTTGTGGTCTGTTTATTTCTTTTTGTCACCTTTTAAATCTGTTCTGTTTTTGTTGGTTAAAGATTTCATTTTAGATTTAAAGGGATGCTGGCAGCTTAAATACATATTAAAAGCAAAAACGTTTTCACATACGTTGATAATAACACATTGATTTTTTTAAACAGAATTTAAATTGTAATGTCTATTAGCTGATTACTTTTTTGCATTTCTCTGATTTTTGGAAAAGGACATAGATTGGTCAGTTTCATCTTTGTTTACAGAAAGTTTCTAATTCATTTATCTTTTGGGTTCTTCTAAGTCACATGATGACTCTTGCATGTTAACAATAGATTTTTATTCTGTTCTCATACTGGTATAAATGGACAGTAACTCGGTTGAAGGTAAGGGAGTAACAAAGTTAAAATTCAGAGGAGAATTGGGTAAAGGTCTTGTAAATGTGGGGTGATGTTTGTTTCCAGTTGGGAGAAAACAGTCACTGTAATTTTTCTGTTGCTATTATTGCTGTAAAAGCTTTTTACCTATCCTAAATTTTGGATCTGATGTGAACAAAGTGTTCCTTTAAGAGGAGAGCACTATGTTAAGGTCCCACAGGTAGTAATGGCACCATTATTAAAAAACAAACCACTACAACCTTCTGCAAGGGAAGGCTGTAGACAACTGCAGTCAAAAATATATATCAAATTGTCACCAAAATAATAGATGCAGTGACAGAACTTACACTTGGTCATTAGGTTTCCTGCAGATTACTTAGGACAGATTTTTAAAAAGTCGCCACTATTTGTTCTGAAGACAGGAAGAAAGATAACTGAATACAGTCATATGGGGGCTCAATCTAAAAGTAGCTTTTTTAAATTTTGAAACTTGAAAAGCTTTGACCAACTCTATAAAATAGTCAACATTTCTTCTTCCATCAGAGGCCTGTGTAAATGAGAACATAGTCCCAGGTCAATTCTTATGGCCAGGTATACACATCACCCAAAAAATTCCTCCTGTACCTGCCAGCCTTGGGGAGTCTAATGATGGAATCTGTCAGGATGCCAAGCTATCCTCTTGTCATTAGCAGTGATCTAGGACATTGGCTCTCAACCTTTCCAGACTACTGTACCCCTTTCAAGAGTCTGATTTGTCTTGCGTACCCCCAAGTTTCACCTCACTTAAAAACTACCTGTGTACAAAATCAGACAAAAGTGTCCCAGCCCACTAGTACTGAAAAATTGCTTAATTTCTCATTTTTACCATATAATTCTAAAATAAATCAAACAAGTCATTTTCTGTATGAAATTTTAGTTTGTACTACTTCACTAGTGCTTTTTATGTAGCCTGTTGTAAAACTAGGCAAATATCTAGATGAGTTGATGTACCTCCTGGAAGATCTCTGCGTACCTCCTGGGTGAGAACCACTAAGGTAGGAAGAACAGTGCTAAAGTATGTTCATAGGCACCGACTTCCCCTCTTCGCGGTGGGTGCTCGACCTGGCCCTGCCCCTGCACCACCCTCAACTCGCTCCCATTCCACCCCTTCCCCCAAGTCCCCATCCCTTCTCCGCCTCCTCCCCTGAGCGCACCACATCCCTGCTCCTCCCCCCACCCCGGGTAAGTCCTAAGCGCCGCCAAACAGCTGTTAGGCGGCGGTGGCGGAGGGACGGGAAGTGCTTGGAGAGAGGGTGAGGAGCAGGGACGCGGTGTGCTTGGGAGGGGGGAGGAGGCGAGCTGGGGGGAGGGTGGGTGCCGAGCACCCGCTATTTTTTCCCCATGGATGTTCCAGCCCCGGAGCACCCACGAAGTCAGTGTCTATGAGTATGTTCACTGGACTACGCCCTGGCTGTACCTGATCCTGTTGTGAAAGATGCCAGGTGGCCTCCCTGGAGCCTTCTATTTAAACTGAATCTCACTCCCTGATCTTGGACTACATGGAGAAAAGCACATTTTAATATAATCTGGTCTGATTTGTGTATAAAGTCATATACCATTGATTTAGGGAATCTTCCTCCTGGAGATGGAGCTGATGCGGCGCTATGTAGTAGTTTTAAAGATGCAATGTACCCAGAGAGAAATTCCCACGGCAACCCTTGCATCATATGTTACAAGTGGCACCTCAGCAATAGGACGGGCTCTCACAGGAAACACACCCAACAAAATGTTATTTCAACTTATCATGTTGCTTGGATGTTTTAGCAGTTAACATTTTCTCATTCATTACTTAGCTACTTCTATAGATACAGTTAAATACCATGTAATTTTGGAAGGATTAACTTGTGGTATAAACAAAAATCTAGGTTAAGGTTTAATTTGGAGTGTGCATATGTGTGGACAAAAGGAACATACATTCTTTTGGTTTTTTTCCCCTCCCTGTTTGTCCTGCTTTGAGACATCCGCTATTGAACTATTGTTCATAAGGTTCCAATCCTCCCCTGCCTTTTTTATTTATGTCTTTATTTATTTTTTTGCACAAGCCTGAAATTTCATTTCCATGGTGATAGTGCAACTATTTTATATTTCATTGGGTGATCTGTACACAGTCATAGATCCCAAAGCCATCTAGACTGACCTCCTGTGTATTCCAACTCCTTAGGAATAAGGGCAAAATTGTGACACTGTTTGCAAAAATTAAAAAAAAAAGAAAGAAAACAACAACCCTAAAAGCCTAAAATTAGACGCATAATTTTATTTTTCTAGTCACATCTTTTGGAGTCATCACAAAACACCTCTTAAGTACAGGTAGATGGACATGAGCTAACATGCTGAAAATAGTGTGGCTGTAGTGGCACCGGAATACAATCCTGCCCAACCCCTTAGGTACGTACTTAGGAGGCTAGCCAGATCCACCACAGCCACACTGCTCTCTTTAGTGCGCCAGCTCAGGCAGAGCTAACCTGTCTGTCTACCCAGTTCCGAGTGACCTGCTACAGCTTCACAACTGTTAACTCTAATTAAACTCTGACTTTGCCTGCCAGATTTGCAGCTTGATGCGAGGTGGAATAGCGGAACGGGGAGGGGTCCGAGTAGGACATCGCATTATTGAGATCAATGGGCAAAGTGTTGTGGCCACTGCTCACGAGAAGATAGTACAAGCCTTGTCTAACTCAGTGGGAGAGGTAAGAATCGTCTGAATTTATAATATTTTATCAAAATATTGAAACAGGTGAGTGAGAATCTCTCACTACATACTTGGGCAAAACAATCTGGTGCTAACACTCTATTACGCCCTCCATCAAACCATAAAAGTAAAGCAGTTGTGGCTACATTATCTGCATTTTACCATTGGTTTTCAAGAAAGATTTCCCTGACTGATTCTGACATTTGAAACTGCAGTCAGACATCAACCATTCAGGTAGGCGAAGAAATATCAGTCAAGCATTGTATAGCCAAGAGCTATGAAAAATGTCTCCATCTCTGTTTTAGATTTTTCCAGTCATAAAATGAATTGATAGCCAGAGAGGCGAGAGATTAAGACTGACTAATATTTTAATCCTTTTGTTTTTGCTGAGATTCTCTGACTCTGATTAGGGAATGGGGTAGGAGAGTAAAACATATCTCTGTTCCTCACCATGTTTAGCGAAACTAGTGACTGATAAACAAGATGTGTGTTGGTGACATACCTTCTCGTCCATTTTGAATTTCAGATAGCATCACTATGCTCATGCCATGGAAATACTGATGAGCATGTTAGCACAACTCTCCCTTCACAAATCCTTAGTTAAACACAATAAGGATGGGGAGATGGAATTCACACACCACACAGCCCTGTGGACTGCAATAGTGGCCCCTGCATCCACATTACTGCAGAGCCAGTAGCCAGTGCTCCTTCCACCCTCTGGTTAGGGTGAGCTAGTACAGAGAACTCCCTACCAAGACCTAACTAAAGGGGTAAAGCAGTGTTTAAGCACTGGGTGGTGAGGGCTGTATGTGGCAGTTTACCTCTTATGAATTGGCATAGCCCTACTTCTAGTGGTGAAATGATTATCACTAATTCCGAGTAGTGGGCCTTTATTATTTATTTTCTTATTTATTTTTCATTGTGAAAAATTCATTTATTTTAATGTGAAAAAAAATCTGTGTATATAAAAACCTTTAAAAGGAAGGCTATAGCAGTTAAAAACATAGCCCAGGTAATTCATGATTTTTGGACTAATGCAGCTAGAGTTTGAGCTGTCCTAAGTAATTGTACATTTATAAAAGGCTTTGGCCTGACTGTGCAGTGTCTGATTTTTTTAAAATAGTCTGACAAGTGCAGATTATCATTATTTTAAAATGATCACTGCTATCTAAAATCATACTTGGTTCCTTGCAGCTTGTATTGTAGCAATACGTCTCCTGGTGTAAAATCCAAAGTGGCAGCTCCATCTGTGCTTATTTTGCTACAGTTGATAGGTTGGTTGTTTCTAATACCTGCAAAAAAGTTTGTTATAGTTTGTTCATACAATGCCATGTCCTTTAACAATGTTTAATGAAATCTCTGCTTACCTCCCACTCTTCCTACTGAGTATTTACCAGGGTTACTGCCAGATGCTTCCTTTGATTATTTGACACCTTTACTCCTATCAGAGTCCAATCACCCTTGCTAACAGGCTTGAAAATGATACTTCTTGTAAATTGCTCATTTTGTAGGAATGGGGGTGGGGGAACTTGCTTTACCTAAATTTGAATGCATTTGAACATTGTGGGTGGTGAAGTTTAAACTGAAAGTTCACATTCCATGTTAGAGATACTGTGTTGGATGGGCAGACAGAGGAAAATCAGTGCCAGTCAATATTTGAGTAGGCCGGGTGAATTTTCATGTACATGAGATTTTCTTCCTGGCTAATTTCCTTAGCTTGGACAGTGGTGGTTGGATGAAATCGGTAATAGCAGCTGGTTTTTCAATTGCTTTTGCTATTCTGATATTATGTCATTTGAAAACAACCCCCCACCCCCAAAGCTCTAGATAGAAACCAGGAAAACCTCCCCTGAAGTCAATGAATGCTGTTAGTGATATGTGCATCAGGCCCCTAGTGATTCTCAACTGATAATTCTGTTACTATATTTTATGTAAATCAATTGACAGATTCATATGAAGACTATGCCAGCTGCAATGTTCAGGCTTCTAACTGGCCAAGAGACACCCCTGTACATCTAGCACATGAGGCTGTCTCTCTCAACAAAAGAACTAAATGATTCCATCAAAGTTGAAGTCTACACAGAAGAAGGAAGAATTTTGTATTTTGTATGAATGAAAGGCTTTGAAACAGGACCTGAAGATTTCACAAACTGAATGGCCAAGAGTCTCTCCCTTGCCAAAAAGTGATGACCATCTTTATCAAGAACAATAATCACTGACACAAAATCTTTGTAAGACATAGTATTTTGCAACATCTTCTAAACTCTTTTCTCATTGAAACTTATACATATTTATTTGTAATCTTCATGTGGCATGGTGTACATCTGTCTGTCATGTTTGATAATATGAGAATGAATCGGCAGAACATTTACTGCAAAGATAAGCAACTGAACAGCAGCCTCAAGTTAAAAAAAAAAATCCAAGTCCCATGTAATGGTCCCTCCACAGCGTATTGCGTAATTTGAAAGCTGATCTAGGGCAGATGGCATTTTAAAATTTCAGTGATTAGGAATGTGTGCTATTAGATTCTAATGTAAAGTGAAACCGTTGTAGTTCTTGGTATAGTTACATGTTACATTTGTCATAATGGTAAGTATGGCAAGGTGTGATATAAGTGTATAACAAAAGAACAGGCAAGTGTTTCTGATGCTAAATAAAGAATAAATGCCACAAAACTAAATTTTTTATTTACATTTATTTTTAATTTTCATGGTTTAACAGAACTGCTTTTCTGATACTTAAATGTGTTCCATGGTTTGTGTAATATTTTTTATTACCCTTTGATTGACATTAGCTCACAATGGGAGAGCCATCCTTAGTCTTTTATAAAAACATTCTTGTTCCTGAGGCATTGTTCTGGTGAACGAGGAGGAAGTAGCACCAACAGCAGTATTAGAATGTGTATAGATAAAATAAGTAGTAGTAAAGTTGTATTCATTATGAGAAATTGTTCATTAATGTAACTTTGTCTTGATTTGTGGGGGGGGGAGGGGGAGGGAGAGGGACAAGGCCTTGAAGAAAATACACTGTGACTTTAGAAGCCTTACCATGCAGTAAATAAAGCTTTAGGATTTCAAGGAGTAACATATACGTTGCATGCAACTGACCTTAGGAAAGAATTAACCCTAGTATCACTAATAAATCTGGAGTAATAAAGACAACTTGCTTATCTTGTTTATTCTGTTAGTAAGTTTACTGAATTCAAAAATCTTCCTAGAAATAGCCCCATTAATTCTTCATCTAAATGCAGTTGCAAAGAATCAGGTAGCTGGAATCCATCTGCTGCCTTGAAGTCAGAATTATAGTAGGTGGTATATCTGCAGAATTCACAGTGAATGGATGCTTGCAATTACCCTACCTTGTTGCCACTGGATGTCACTGTAGCTTCATGCGAATGTAGTTGAAGCAGCATCAATTTAAAATATAGCGATATTGATGATTGACAAACACACATTGTGAACTGAAGCTACCCATCTCCAGCTACACACCCTTGTGACCTTTTCACAGATTGTCTGCCAAGTTCAGAGTGACACAAATGAAAACAGCCAAGCAATTAAACCCCATAGATGTGTTTACAAAAGTTAAAATTGTGCACATTAGACTGGATTCCTTATGAGAACACGGATCATGCCCTTTCCTATCTCTGCCGAGTTGTAGCTTGCATTGGTTTGTTCTTAACAAAGACCTGGCAGGCACCATCTGCTGTTAGTATTGGCATTAGTTGAGTTTTTTAGACCAATTTTTAATGCAAAAGACCTACTAGAAGAAAATTATCCATGCTAACAAACGGAATAAACCAAATCAGAGCAAGATGAGGGCCCAATGGGATGCCAAAGATGTATCAAGATTCAGGGTTTTAAAGAGGTTTTTCAGGGCCCAGGGCAAAATCTGAAACTGAGCCCCTTCCCTTCCAAAATTAGTGTGAAGATGAAAGAGTTTAAGATGGTAGGGAATGGGGAGCAGGGTTAGCAAGGGTCCAGGCCAGTGGGGTGGCTGCCCTCCTCAAAGGGAGAGAGGAGCTCTGGCCCCTCTGCTGGTGGGGATGGTATCCACAACTCTACTCCTAGCTCTGGGTGGCTTCAGACCCGCCAGATGATGACGACAGTTGTGGCAATGATAGGATCTGAGCCTGGCCAGGATGGGGGAGTCACTTCCCATACTGCCCAGGCCACTCAAATTTGGCTCAGCTGCCCCCCCTCATTTGGGGGGCCCTCTCAAACAAGGCGGGAGGGCAAACTGCCCTTTTTGTGCTCCCCCAGGTAGCCCTGTCTGGATTGTCCATGAAAGGTTATGGAAGTCAGCTTTTAGGCAATTCCAGCAGTGCAATGGCTTTGTCCATAGTGCACCTGCTGGACATAATTTGTAGTGAATTTAGACCTCAATATATAATGGCATCTCCCAAACCATCAAACTCATGAGCATTCAGAAGAAAGTAAAAAAGGAACCACTTTGCAGCCTTTACTAGAATTTAAAAGGGCAAGGGGCATTTGAGAAACAAAACAGCTCTAGCAGAAGATAACAATTAGCTTAGCGTCATGAAACCTATGTACACTTAGAAATGGAAAGAAAGGGACCAGCGAAAGCAGCTATGCTCTATAATAAGAGTGAATCTTTGTATTTCTAACCAAATCAGTTTTTGCAGAAGCAAAGTCCAGAAATACTTTTTATTAAAACACTGATGATAATTAAAACCCATTGAGGTACATTAAATAAATGCAACTTATAAGTTGTACAAAAAGTCTCTTGGTGATGGTTTTCAGGAAATGCTGCATGGCAGCAGCATCTCCATCAATATGTTCAAATCAATGCATGTCTGTTTGGGAAAACATTTGTTACAAGTTTAACAATAACCCTTTAAATTTTGCAAAATGCAGGGCTTAAAAATTTACATTCAGAAAAAGAGTGATGTTCTTCTACTATTAAGTAGAAAGTGGAATTCCAAAAGGAAGACACTTTTTTTTCCTTTCTAAGCCATCCATTATTTGCATTTCTCTGTGTGCTGGACTCTTCTCTTTGCTGGAATCAGCTTTTCTGCATACCTGTAAACTGTTGTCAAAGGATTGTCTCCCGGCAAACTCCAATCAAACTGTGTGGCCTGTCCCGCTCTAAACTGCGAGTGATGTGGGACCTGCGTAAGAAGGCAACTGGAGAACTTAGAGCACCACAACTCTGAAGGTGAAGATCTTCTTGAAGTCGTTTTCTAGAGGTATTCACATTCTGCTGGGAACTTGTAATTACCTGATAAAGGGGGGAGCATGGAGGGAGGAGGAGGAAAAGGAGACAGGATACTTAAAAGTGGCAATTCTTCAACAAAAACTTCAAAAACAGTCTCCCAACGAGAAACTGCAGAACTGGAATTAATTTGCAAACTGGACACCATCAAATTAGGTCTGAATGAAGACTGGGAGTGCATGGGTCACTCCAAAACTAATTTCCCCCTGCTGATACACACACCTTTTGTCAACTGTTTGAAATGGGCCACCTTGATTACATTGAACTCATTAGCACAACAAAAGTGATTTTTCCTCCCTTCTTGTCAACTGTTGAGAATAGCCCACTTCCACCTTAATTGAATTGGCTCCTTAGCACTGACCCCCTCAGTAAGGCAACTCCCATCTTTTCATATGCTGTGTATTTATATCCTACTGTATTTTCCACTCCATGCATCTGATGAAGTGGGTTTTAGCCCACAAAAGCTTATGCCCAAATAAATTTGTTAGTCTCTAAGGGGCCACAAGGACTCCTCATTGTTTTTGAGGATAAGAGCTGTTTGTTTCACTGCAAAAATTCAGTCACTTCTGTTACAGTAACAGTTTTCTGCTCAGTCTCTTTTATTGAATTTTACCTAATATGGTTAGGCCACAGAAGGTAAAATCCTAATACTACCACCAGCCAATGGCCTTTATGTCAAGTGGGAGGGGCTGTGCTTTTGGTGCTGAAATCTCAGCTTCATTCCTCACTGACAATTCATGAAGCAGCATCATGTAGCTGCTGCCGGGACAAAGAATGCAGAAACCACCGTCCTCCTTCAAAAAAATCTTGGTTTAAATTAAAGAAAATATGTTCCCCCTTCTCATATGGGAACAAACTGGTAATTGAGGGCCTCTGAAATGGTCAGACCTGGGTACAGCTAGACAGGAAGCCTGAGTTAAGCTGCAGTGACCTCGGGCTCTTGCTCTTTATGCTGCTTCAGACAGACTTTTAGAGATAGAGGGGAGACAGAGCACTGCTGTGGTTGGCCTCAGCTGATCAGAGAGTAAGTGATGGAATTGTGACTCCTGCTGAGGCATGAAGGAGGGGAATTAGATAGAGAGGAAGGTGTTTTCTTAGAACACAGCTTTACCTTTTAGTCCTCAGGTATAAGTTTGGGACAATGAACTCCATCCATTTGCTTAGAGGGGGGGAGGGAAAGAGCGATTGATTTTTCCCGTCCATTAACTAAAATTTGTGTTCTTTCTCACCATCACTTAAAGAGCAACTCTTTTGTGAAGTAGCTTGTCACTTCCATTTACACCTCTAACTCTGAATTACATAATGGTTATTGAAAAGGCTCTGAGCTTCAAGAGCAGATTGATGGAGCTGCTTGGACTTTGTTAATGTTTGCTGACTGGAAAAATAACTTTACTAGGATTGCTCCCTTTGTTTGAAGCAGCCATGTGTCTCCTCGGATCTCAAAAACTACACTTGATAAAAATCACATGCGTGGTTTCCATTTTTACTATCTGTCTAAAACACTCAGTCTATAAGTCTATAAAAAAAGGTATTTTTCTTTTTGAGAAGTTATGGCTTTCCATTATAACCCTAATATACTGTTTCCAGCTTTCTAACCTTTGGGAGTTAATGACCTATAATGATTTCAAAGCAATAAAAATGTTAATGACATAAGGTCACTGTGGAATTCTTAAGTATCTCAGGATATTACTGTTTTTCCACTGCTGTAACTAGATATAGTAAGGTTAGTATTTCAATATGTTCTACTCACCAGCTAGCAAAAGGCTAATGCTAATTATCTTATGACCATGCCTTGGTCAATGGTGGACACTTCCTACAGCACTTAAGTTTCTCTCACAATGCTATTTAATGACCACTATATCACATATTTAAAGACATAGGAAGTTTTCATACTGCTGAGGAAAAGAGTGGACAAGCAGGCAAATGCGACAGAGACAATGATCTCTAGGATATGGGGTTGCTCCCATTTATATATCCTCAATTTTCCACCCAGAATCTTATGGTAGTGGGCTAGCATCAGTGTTCCCTCTAATTTTTCCCACACGTGCGGAATAAATTTTGTTATGTGTGACACATCATCCTCATATTGGTGCACATAACAAAATTCATGTGGTGGTGGTGGGGCCGAGGGGTTCAGAGTATGGGAGGGGACTCAGGGCTGGGACAGAGGGTTGGAGTGCATGGGTGTGAGGGCTCCAGTTGGGGGTGTGGGCTCTGGGGTGGGGTTGGGGGGGTGAGTGCTCCGGGTTGGGGCCGGGAATGAGGGGCTCAGGGTTGGGACAGAAGGTTGGGTATGTGTGTGAGGGGGTGAGGGCTCCGTCTGGAAGTGCAGGCCAGGGATGAGGGGCTCAGGGCTGGGGCAGAGGGTTGAGGAGCAGGGAGTGAGGGCTCTGGCTGGGGATGCAGCAGGGATGAGGGGCTTGAGGTGCAGGAGGGTGCTCTGGGGCTACGGCGGGGAGAGAGGACTCCCCCCAGCTCTCTCTCCCTGGAGCAGCACCTGGGCTATGGGGGAGAGGTGCTTCTCCCCTGGCCGCAGCAGGTTGGGGCCTGGGGCAGGGGGTTCCCTGAGCGCTTGCCCAGCCATGCAGCTTACAGGCAACTTAGGGTAGCATGTCTCTCAGACAGCCTCCCGAACCACTGGGAGAAGGGAACTCCATTTCTACAGCTGATATTTTTGTTACAAAATGAATAAGAGGTCAATCCTGCAGTCGTATTCAAATTTGGCCAATAGGCATTAGAAAATCAGATGGCCCAAAAGGGTTTATTTTGAATCATGCTTTAGATTACAAAACATATTAAGCTTCATGCATTGTTCAATGCTTTGTGTTTTCATGGTCTCTTCCAAGCAAGTGAACCCAATTTATTCCTCAGTCAAAGGTGTGGGGATCCTCTGTTCCTTAATTCTGAGAATTAGAATTTGCCAGCTTCCTAAAAAATAACCAAACCCAGTGTTCATCTTCTAGCCAGAAGCATGGGTGAGCACTGTCCTCCTTCAGAACAGATGCCAATACCACTTGCTTATCTACCCATTCTTGGGCAGTTGGTAGACTCCATCCCTCCCTTCTGCCATCCAAATGCATCTGCTCCACAATGCAGCTGAGCTTCACTAGTTCAAGAAGCAAAAGCTCCAAGTCAGTTTCCAAACCTTTGTATCCTATGTCCTCAAATACGTTTTCCACCCCTGCCTTACAGTTGGGGAGAAGAGAGTAAGCTTAAAAATAAGGTGAGAGTTCCCTATAAATCTTCAAGGACAGCATCAGTATAAATTCCTGCTCTGTGGAGTTTAGTGCTAAAGCCCATCTTTAAAATCATGTCTTGTTCAGTTCAAAATATGTCATTGCTTGACAGAATTAATACTCTAAAGCCAACCCAGGACACAAGCATGTTAGAACCTGTTCCCTGCTTATTATAAACACCATAATGGTCATACCTGGTCTATAATGTTGGCACTGAAGATGGCTTCTTCCATGTGTCTTTCATCTGATTTGATTACAGATCTTATGCTGTTCACAACGTGACGCACTTCTGGAGGGAGATTACAATTTGAATGTTCCAAAAATTTAGCCACCAAAATTTTTGTGTCTTTATAGGCCTTAAGGTCTACTAAAGAGTGCGGTCGCTCTTTGGAGATTGTGTTGAAGGCCTTTGGCTTTAACTGTAGGTCAATTTTCCTTGTCTCTCTTTGTTTTCCAGTGGGTGGGAAACGGCTTACAGAGTCCTGGCAAGCAGAGGCAGCCACATGAGAACTACAAACGGGAACTAAAAATAAAGGGGGGGAAAATGAAACTTTTTAAAAAAGGCTAGAATAAGAAAGGTGTCAAATCAAACATCCTCATAGGGGAATATTATAACGTTCAGCCTACAACCTATAACTCCTAGTAGGTTCACAGTGCAACAAAAGTATAAAACAAAGGAAACATTTAAAAATAGTTATTTTAAAGACTTCTAATAAGGGAATTGAATGCTGGTGAAACACTTCACATTGGCATTCCTTGAAAAGTTCTCCCTTTACCCCCAAAAAGGGTACAGCACTGAGAGTGGCAGGGCAACATTCCTCCCCAGGACTAGGAGGGACCACATGGGAGAGTGGATAGTTAAAAATCTTCATGTTCATTGATCCTTCTGCTAATACTGCTATCATGAATGCCAGTGGATACTAATTGTGTTAGGGGAAATTTTTCCACTACAGACTGGGCTGAGACAAACATTAATTATATACAAGTCACTGCCCCTATGCTATAAACACAGCTGTAGACTCAAGTTTCCAGGACAACTAGTCAGACCAAGAAAAGTTT